TAAATTTTTGTTTACATAATATATAAATTTTATAAAAACGTTTTATTCAGTTTTACCAGGAGACAAAAAGTTTATTTACTTTTTGCTTTGGCTTTGATTTTAATCGGTGTAATTATTTCTTTTATATAGATGACCACAATGAATAAAAATTATGAGAAAGAGCAGAAGAAACAATCCATAAAAAGCAGCAGTGAAAAACACTTGAAAATTGTTAAACCACCCATGCTTCCCCTATCCTTGTCCCACGATTATCGTAAAACTAATAGAGACAACTTGAACTGCATAACATTTTACAAAAATCCAAACTTTCATAGAGACACTCGTAAAACGGGAGGTGACTTTGAACAATCTGTTACATCTGATAGGGCAGATATTCCAAGGCAGGTACACAAAAGGCCCAATCAGGCCCTGATTTTCATAAAAGAGGACCATGACGATGCCAATAATGTCAAAATTGTAAATAACGAAACAAAGTCTCCCAGAGAATACGCTCGAGTTTCAAATGTAATTAAAAGTCACTATCAAAATTTTTCCGAATCTCCTCGCAATGCCGACACAGGAGAAGAAATTTTCAATTTGAAAATCCACTTGAATAGTAGGGAAAATAACAATGATTCAAAAAACCCCACACGCTTTTTCGGAGAAAATCGTTATCAAGAAGAAACGAATGTAGACTTCTCAAACGGGGATTTTTTTCGAAGTTCGCCTAACTCTTCAGAAGTTTCGTTTAAGCCCCATAAAGACGAAGTTAATGTGAGTGGTGAAGGCTCCGAAAACTTTGCTCCTAAATATTCTTTGCTCCTTACTGCAACTATGGTAGACAAAGAGCCTGGAGAACTTAATCAATTGGATAAAGTTATCTTAAGAAACCCCAACAATAATCCACAAAATGTAGATGTAAATAACGAGAGTCATTTTTCAAAGTCTTGGCCAATAATTAATTGTTATTGTGATCAGAAGAAAAATGGCAGTGATGTGAATAAATACAAGTCTAAATTAACAAAAGTTCATACAAGACAGTGTTGCCTCAAACGATATTCTCAATAATTGTTTTAGATTTCGGTGAATTATATAATACATAATTTGTTTTTGTTACTGTTTATAATAAAAAATACGACCGTTTGGTAATTTCCTTGTGCATTTTTATGTGGATGTAATTATACTAGTGTTTGGTAAAATCTGCTCTTTTTTAATTCATTCAAAAATTTTCAGTATAAACCTTTAGAGGCAGCTGAAAGAAAAAGGTTGGAAGAAGATATTAGTCGTTATCAGGGGCAAAAACATAATCTGAACACAATGATAGAAACTCTGGTAAAAATACATAATTCCTTTTATTGCCTCTTTATATTTTCTGTACATGTAAATATTTTTAGAGCAAAGAAAGTCAAGATTGTCAGGGGCAAAGAAACACAGAGGATATAGTAAGTTTACCAATGAAAAAGAATAATAATAAGTCTATGTATTGGCTTACGTAATTTACAGAAAGAACTTGAACAGTACAGAAAAACATATACAACTGTGCTAGAAGAAATTGTAAGACGGAAAAGAGATGATAGTGATGTTTTCTTAAAGATATCCGAGGTATGTGGGTATAGAAAGTAACTGCTCTGTTTATTATTTGGTTGAAATTAAATTAAAAATTTTTTACTATTAATTTTTTATAGGGCAAATCTGGATTGCATATAAGCCAAGTAAGTCTTATTATTTCGTTTGTACTCATTTATTTATTCTCTTGTTATTTAATGTAATTATAATCATTGTACAGGAAAGTGGAACAGATATTGAAAGCCTTTACCATGAAATAAAATGTTTAAGAACAGAAAAGGACGAAGTATTAAAGAACTTTGAAAACCTGGTATAATGTGATAAAATTGAAAATAAATACGATTTTTATAAATTAATTTTTTATAGAAACATTCCTATACGGAGTTAAACACAG